AAATTAGAATATTACTGAAGACCAATAAAAACAAAGGATTTATAGAAATGTTGGCCAACTGAAAAGTATGAACATGAAAAGTATGAGCATGTACAGCACTCAGTATTTAGTTGGGCCTCCTTTGGCCTGTATTACTGCAGCAATGCGGCGTGGCATGGAGTCGATCAGTCTGTGGCACTGCTCAGGTGTTATGATAGCCCAGGTTGCTCTAATAGTGGCTTTTAGCTCTTCTGAATTGTTGGGTCTGGTGTATTGCATCTTCTTCTTCACAATACCCCATAGATTTTCTATGGGGTATTGTGGAGAGTTTGCTGGCCAATTAAGAACAGGGATACCATGGTCCTTCAACCAGGTACTGGTAGCTTTGGCACTGTGTGCAGGTGCCAAGTCCTGTTGGAAAATGAAATCTGCATCTCCAAAAAGTTGGTCAGCTGCAGGAAGCATGAAGTGCTCTAAAACTTCCTGGTATGTGGCTGCGTTGACCCTGGACCTCAGAAAACACAATGGACCAACACCAGCAGATGACATGGCACCCCAAACCATCACTGACTGTGGAAACTTTACACTGGACTTCAAGCAACGTGGATGAAGTGCCTCTCTTCTTTTCCTCCAGACTCTGGGACCTTGATTTCCAAAGGAAATGCAAAATTTACTTTCATCAGAGAACATGACTTTGGACCACTCACCAGCAGTCCAGTCCTGTTTCTCTTTAGCCCAGGCAAGACGCTTCTGACGCTGTCTGTGGTTCAAGAGTGGCTTGACACAAGGAATGCGACAGCAGAAACCCATGTCTTTCATACGTCTGTGTGTGGTGGTTCTTGAAGCACTCACTCCAGCTGCAGTCCACTCTTTGTGAATCTCCCCCACATTTTTGAATGGGTTTTGTTTCACAATCCTCTCCAGGGTGCGGTTATCTCTCTTGCTTGTACACTTTTTTCGACCACATCTTTTCCTTCCCTTCGCCTCTCTATTAATGTGCTTGGACACTGAGCTCTGTGAACAGCCAGCCTCTTTAGCGATGACCTTTTGTGTCTTGCCCTCCTTGTGCAAGGTGTCGATGGTCGTCTTTTGGACAACTGTCAAGTCAGCAGTCTTCCCCATGATTGTGTAGCCTATAGAACTAGACTGAAAGACCATTTAAAGGCTTTTGCAGGTGGTTTGAGTTTATTAGCTGATTAGAGTGTGGCACCAGGGGCCATCAATTTTGAACCTTTTCACAATATTCTAATTTTCTGATATGATGAATTTGAGATTTTCATTTGTTGTCATTTGTAATCATCAAAATTAAACAAAATAAACATCTGAAATATATGAGTTTGTATGTAATGTATGAATATAATATACAAGTTTCACTTTTTAAATGGAATTACTGAAATCAATCTACTTTTTCATGATATTCTAATTTTATGACCAGCACCTGTATATGAAAAAAAAAAACATATCAATATTAAAACTGAGCCACATTGCATAGAGTTCTGGCCTGTAAGACTTACATTTATCTTAGTTTCAGAATTTCATTTAAACGTTAATTTTACTCCAATTAGAGTTGATTTTTTTTGTCAAATTTGTTTGAATATAACTCAGAAGATTAAGACCAACTCTTTGGTGAAACTAACGCTGGTGAGTTGAATTGGATTAAACAACTGTTGAATTAACATCAAAAGAAAAAAAAAATAATAATAAAAAAAATAAAAAAAGAGAAACTGCATGTAACAAATTCCCCAATACTTCAGCCATAAACACCACCAGATAACATGAGAACCTGTCCAAAACAAAAGAACATGATGTACCAAATTAACACCACAAATCAAGGATAAGAACGTAAATAAAAGGTCGGTTTAACCCAAAAGGTGTAGCGATACCACACAACTGTAATCACAGACACTTTCAGTGAAGGCGCTCTTATGCAAATCCAATAATCCAGCAGAGCCGGAAGCTGGGAAGTGATTGAATTTTACTGCACTGGGCTTTAAAAAAATCTGAATGAATGTAAAAATCCGATGACACGTTGACGGAGTAGCTGTTTCCACATCAAAGACCGAAAAGTGGGCAAAAATGAATAAAACGTGCAATATAAATGGTTTGTCGTGACACAACGTTCAGTGTGTGACGTTAAATGCCGCTAGGTCCTGTCAAACTGCAGCTGATCGTGCTTCTCTTCTACAAAGGGCCCGCGCGAGACTCTGACAACCAGGCGGAATTTGAACAGTTTTTCTAAATTACACTGCGTGAGAAAAAATATTAAATGAATTGAATAAATAAAATGAATAAAAATAAAATAAATAAATGAACGGCCTTTACGATTAAACCACTCAGCATCTCTTATGGACCGTTAACTCTAACGGTTTAAGCTCGGCTGCAATAGCTTGGAAGCTCAACTAATTAAGCTACGCATACGGACACCATTACGGGGGAAAAAATGAATGTTTGCTAACAACCGTAGATTAAAAATGGGACATGAAATGTTTATGGTAGAAAGAAGTTCACGGGCATAAGTGAGATGAATGAAGGATGCTTTGGCTAGACGGGGGAGGGGAGGTCATTCATTCGCTGCGGGTATTGACGTTAGCCTGGCTAGCTAACTGTCATATGGATTCATGCACAGAAACATAAATAACGAAAACATGTTGGATTACACAGCTATAAAGGGGTCATCGCATACCTGCAGGTGCTCCTGGAAGCGGATAGGCAGGATTTGAGCCATGCTGGATTCTTGAGCTTCTCCGGAGTCCTGAAATCCTAGCCGTGAAGCTAGCTAGGCAGTTAGCACCGCGCTAGCAACGACCTCTTCACTCAGAGTGTAGGTCGGAGCCAGTCAGTGAAAACGGCTACACGGCGGGAAACAAAAATCAGTATGGCGTGGTTTTAGTTGTGTTTCCGAAATATGATACTGGTGAAGATGTTGGATTTATCTCCCCTTTGTGTATGTTTTCTGCACAGCATCGATGGGCAGCTGCAGCTACGGCTGATCTCCTCTCTGAAATCTGCAATGGCGGCGGAAGCGGCTGAGTGTTCCCTCTCCGGAAGCATCCAGGGAGCTCTGGAAGGACACTGGCTCTTCTGCCCCTGTCTTTTCAAATTTACTCTAGTTCTCTTAACTTATTTATTGTAAAACCTTATTGTGCTTCAGTAATAAATGAGTTTATATATAATATAAATATAAATATTTGCAAATGCATCTCAGGTCAGGGTATTTTTAAAATACTAAAGATGTTTTAGTATAATGCAGCAGTCAAGAGTTAAAATTTACATTCATGCATTTAACAAATTCTGCACATTTATATATATTTTTTGTTTTCCTCGTTCTAATTCTTGCTAAGGATCAGTGCATAAAGAAAGAACAGGTTCTTTAATGAATGGTTTCCTCAGGTAGCCTCTTTCTTCAACAAAATACACACCTTCCCTATAAATTGTTTCTACAAAAAAAAAAAAACTTAAGCTGCAGCTTGTGAGACAAAATAAGAACTAAATTATTATTATAGGTATTTGTTTTACGATGGTTTTAATCCACTTTGAGATTAACATTACTCTTTAGTGCCGAAACAATCAAGTTCAGCGTGATTAATTGATTAAAGAAAGTCAACTAATTTAATAATTGATTATCATTAATTGGAATATAGGGACTCTAAAACATGCCTTTAGCCGACAGAGCAACCCACTTAGAGCAGTAATTATAAAAATATTGTAAAAAAAAAAAAAAATGTAAATGCTTTTGCATTTAAGATTAAAAGTACCTTTTTCATCTGTCAATAATGCTCTTTGCAGAACTCCACATGTGGAAAAGTTTTAGTTTCTCCTGGTTTTTAAAGGCACCTTTGGCTATCCAATTATTAATCGAAAACATAATCGACAGATTAATCGATTTGCAAATTAAGCAGTTACAGCCCTCTTTCTCTTAGAATGCATTTTTAATTTTCATTTTGCTTTTATAAGGACGAATTTGCCTGAAATGAATGGTATTTCTACTAAAACAAATTTACATTGATTAGGGGTGGATTATATGGCATTAATATGTGATAATATTTTGCGGTATTATTGTGATAAAATTGATAAAAAAAAAAAAAAAAACACTCTTCATTAAGTCCTTGATGTCATTCCTAGGTGGCTTTATAACAAAATCCACGCCACAGCAACCAGAGCCCATTAGCAATCATCACTGCTCTTAAAAAATATGCAGATTTAAAATACGCAATATCAGAGCACCAGTTAAATTAAATGACATTTATATTATAAATCACCCTATAGTACGGAAGAGGATTAGGGCAAAGGAAAAAAAAAAGTTAACTGATTTTTAAATATTTCAGTTTAATATGGGAAAAAAGTTTCTGACTTTAATCTCAGAATTTTGGATCCTAATGTAGACGTGCACCATGAAGGAAGAGATATTGGAGCTCTCTGCATGACTGACAAAGATGTTAGTTTTTGGAAGGGCCAGTAACATATTGGTGGAAAATGAAGGAATTAGGCTATTTTTTTATGTAATGGAGGAGCTTAATGAAAGTGCAGAAGGTGATTAAAACCAGAGAGCTAGTTAAGTCTCTAAAACAGACATGGCTATGGCTTGATGCTGACATGTTTGTTAGCTCTCAGAATTCTGACAAAAAAGTCAGAATTCTTACTTTTTTTCCTCATATTGTACTGAAATAAATCTTAAAAATCAGTTTGCTTTTTAAAATTTTTCATTGGCCCTAATCCTCTTCCATACTATAGTGAACACATTTAATTATATTATTCAAGTTTGACAATTGCTTATCGCATTTTTTAACAGATTAGTCCGAGTCATGAATCCATTCTTGTGTTGTGAGAGTCCGAAGCTAAAAACTTTGACAAATGAAGCTCTAAAGCAGACAGTTACGTAAAAGAACAGACCTCTTTGAAACTCAAGCTAAATCATTATTTTCATTCAACCTTAACTTAAATGTATTTGGTATGGCCATTAGTAAATGTTTAATTTCCAACTAAAATTTAGTGGGTGGGAAAAAAAAGACAACACATTGTGATGCATTTTAAGAAGCAGCTGTATTTGACTATAAAGGAATTTCTTGTCCAGTGTCTCAAAGCTGTTTTCTTTATATTTCAGTGTAAAAAGCTATGAGAAAAAAAAGAAGAAAAACCCCAAAAATAATTCATATGAAAAAATTTGAAAAAGGAAAAAGAAATCCCCACTCACCAGTCATTAATTAAAATAGAAACACCATTTCATTTTTCTAACATTCCCCCTCAAAACAAATATATATATTTCCTTATATATAGATATATATATTTATAGATTTATTCTCAAGGCAGTTGGTCACGGCGAAATTCATTGACATCATTATGGCCATTTTTCATGTTTCAAAAAAAAAAAACATCTTCATAATGAAAGAAAAACAACTGGTGGAAGCACAGTATACAGTAGAACCATTGCGATGGCCGACAGACAGCGTATCCTTTTTGAGTGAGAAAGAATATTCCATCAAGGCAGTGTGGTGCACAGACACACCTCAGGAACAAGTGCAATGCAAAGAAAAATAAAGTTCTCACAAAGGATAAAACTACAACATACTCCTCGCACATAACTCGTCCAATAGATTCCCTTTTGCACGCCTCCTCTTCCTTTTAGCATCTCTTTGTTGCAGCAGGGAAGGCTTCGGAGTTGTGTCCTTCCTGGAAGTTCAATGTCTTGGAGGAGATGAAAGAGTTTGATTTCCCAGATCAGTCTTCAAATTTTGCCAATTCAACTTTAACTACTTTGAAAAAAAAAAAGGATCCACTAGTAAAGACAAATTAAATTAAAACTTTCCCTGAATACTGAAGAGTGCCTTATCAGTAATAATGGATCTGACAGCATGTGGGAGTGGACACAAGTAGCATCGTTCCAAGAGCTGGGTTGTGGCGTGTGGAAGTCCCTGGGTTATATTTGACAGGAAATGAATATGGCTGTTGTACAAATAGGCAAGAATGCTTTCTTGTGTTTAAGATTTATAGAGAAAAAGAGAAAATGTGTAGGATAAATCCCTGGGCTATGGGAGAGAGGTTGGTGGAAGATGCAATTTGGCCTCCACTGTGCATCACACCCCTCTGTTAAACCTGACAACTCAGCAGAACTATGTGCTTCTCTTTTGAAGTTCCTGAACAAAGGCTATAAAACAAAAAGGAAACAAACAGCAAAATAAATAAATACAATCATACTTAACACTTCAAACATTTTTCTTGTCATATTTCAAACCCAAACCCAGAAGTAGGGAAGTAACTAGTTTTACACATTTGATAAATTAATGAAAGAAAAAGCTGCAAATGTCACAGAAATAACTTTAATGTGACAAAAGAATAAATTAAAAATCAGTCAGATATTGCTTTTCAAACATGCGTCAATATAATGATTTTTAAAAATAAACTCAACTAAGGAATATTCTGTGTTAAACCTAATATTTTCAATTTTATCTTAAATCTCACTTATCTTTCCATCTGTTTAAATCGCCTGTCCTCGTGATCAAATTTGTACTAAACAAGCATTTCTGTTGTGGCCAAGACAAAAATCCTTCTTAGGGCCATAAATGGCCCCAGGACACACTTTGGACACCCCAGTACTAAACTGACAAGGAAAGCATTGATCTGGAAGCATGAAGAATGCCCTGGTGACTCTCAAGAGCTGCAGAAATCCACAGCTCATGTGGGAGAATCCAACAAGACACATGATGCACTGCACCAATCTGACTTTTACGATACAGTGGCATATAGCCACAACACATACCATTTGTATTTTACTAAAGGGCATTTAGAAAACAGAGTACATATGTGGAATATGTGTCTTTGGTCCTGTATGATGCAAACTCCTTTGTAGAGAGAGAACCAACATCGCCCATCACCCTGAACTCTGAATAAGTACACTTTTCCTCAGCATGGACAGTGTTGTTGGTGAAAGCTTGTAGATAAAGCTAAATACTGCGTCCTGTTAAAATAAAAGCCTTTTGAGGCTACAAAAGTCTTCAGTAGAGGAAGATATTAATCTTCAAGTGAGACAAAGAGCCTAAATCCAATCAGAGCCAACAAGCATGATGAAGGCATGTGAGATCACCTCCCTAATGAGACCCAGGCAGGCCAAGCCTGAAAGAGTAATGCAAGTCAATTCCCCATTGGACTCAACACCTGCAGGAGGAGCCATGAGGGGCCAGGATCAGGCTCACCTCCACACATAGCCTGGGCTCTGGAACCCCATGAGAGAGGCTGAACTCTCTTCTACACTGGAGTGTCCTGCGGGGAGAGAGGCCAAGGGTGGAGTGGGTCTGGTTATCTCCCCCTATCTCATCAGTCAAGCATTGGAGTCTAACCCGGTGGACATAGGGGTCCCATCCATTCACCTTTAGATTAAGGGGAGGTTTCACCGTGTGGCCATTTGACCAAGTATGCAGTCAAGGAGTACAGTCAGGAGTCCAGGAGTACAGAGTTGGGAGCCCTTTACTAAGGGCGATCAGGAGTTTGGACCTGTTCCCGGTGAATGATGGACTCTGATAGTACTGTCCTCTGTAACCAATCCTGTTCCTCATGGACAGCCAAGGGCCAGAGGGGTGTGGTTTGTAGACCAGAGGGTTTTGTCTCTTTTTGCAGAAGACATAGTTCTGCTGGCTACCTCTTGCCAAAACCTACAGCATGGACTGAAAAGGTGTGAAGCAGCTGGGATAAGAATCAGCTCTTCCAAGTCTGAGGACATGGTTCTTGACTGGAAAAAAGGGCTTGTCCCCTTCAGATTGGAAGAGGACTCCTGCATGATGTGAAAGAGTTTTTGGGGGTCCTGTTCACAAGTGAGGTGAGAATGGAGCTGGAGATCTATAGATGGGCCGGTGCAGCTGCTGCTATATTGAGGATGCTGCATCGACCCGTTGTGAGAAGAGCTGAGAGAAAAGGTAATTTCCCGGTCAGTCCAGGTTCCTATCTTCATCTATGATCATGAAGAACGAGATCTCAGATACAAGAAGCAGGAATGAGCTTTCACCACAGGGTGGCTGCACCCCATCTCCCTTAAAGATAGGGTGAGGAGCTCTGTCATCTGGGAGAGGCTTGGTGTAGAGCTGCTTCCCCCCACATCAAGAGGAGTCAGTTGAGGTGGCTCGGACATCTGTATCGGTTGCCCCTGGATGCCTCACTTAGGAGGTGTTCATGTTACGACCTACTAGGTGCTCTTCTGACTTCCCCCAGCAGAGCTAGATGTGTTTGGGGGGAGAGAGAAGTCTGGGAAGCTCTACTTTGATGGCAGCTGAGGCAACCCGGTCCCGGATAAATGAGCAAAGAGTATGAATACTTTCCCCTCAGCTAAAAAAAATTATGATTTTTGTTGGTTCATAACATAAAATATATTCACGTTCCATATTTTCCTGAAACAATATGTAGAAAAAGTCCTGGGGAAACGACTTTGTCTGCATGCTAATAAAGACTTAAGTTATCTTACCGCCAATAATTTCCTCCTTGACTTTTTGTAATTCTTTCCGCACCTCCTCCAAGATCTCCTGTAATTCAAGAAACACATCAATGGTGACACAGTAAAGGTTCAGAGACTAAACCTTTCTTAAATTGCATTTAAGAAAATTCCAAACACAGAGTGAAATGTCCAAAATTCTCATGCAGTGTTTGAGTAAAGACTTTTTATGGTTCCCTGTGAATTTACAGCAAATATTCATACATTGGTAAGGAAGGAAGGACAATGGCATACAGTAGAATTGATGGACACCCTGAACGATGGACAGTTGGACGGAAACTACAGGTATGGTCAGAGAAAGCATGTATAGATGAAGGGACAGTGAGATAGACAGAACACTGAATGTGGGAAAAAGTCAAAATTCCTATATTTCTAACCAACACTTATCCATGTAATAACAGTAATATTTTCTAACTTCCTACAGAGTCAGAGAGGTTACCTGTTTAAGTTTCTCTAAATCAGAATCATCAGCTCCACCTGCATCATTATTATTGCTTGCACTCTTAGTCCTGTAAGACAGCAAGAAGCAGAAACCTCTCAGTGTTTAACAGCTGCATTTAAAAAAATGCCCATTCATTGTTGGAGTAAAAAACTAGAAGTTTGCATCTTGGTACAACAAGGATAAATAGATGGAACAAGATCCGGTGAGGGTTAGTGTATCATTAAGGAGAGTTCTTAATTATCACTTTATTAACAGAGTAAGCATTGTCAAGGTTTTTTCCTTCAACTAACGTTGCATCTGTTTTCACCCCACTGATGAATTAGTTTATAACATCCCTTTTCACAACAGGTATAGCAGTGAATCTTATAGGAAATCGTTTTTATCAGCTCTGCTAATCCAGAGTTGCATTTTAACCAAATATTTTTTTTCAAGCAAAGTAAAATTGGAGTGTTATTTTTACATTTTGCTCAAATAATCTTAAATGCAGAAGGAAACAATTTTCCACAGCATGATGCAATGAGAACCTTTCTAACAGCTGGAGCTTTTTAAAATGCCACTTTTTTTTTTTACTTGATCCTGCTTGAAAAAAAATAAACAAGGCGACATTATCTCTTCAAAACTTTGCTTTATCCCATCAGATAAAACTCCAATAAATACATCAAAGGAAGGCATGGTTTTGTGAGGGGATAATAATTATGATAACACCCAATCCTGTTTCCATCTCATTTGATTTGCTGAGATGATATAATAAGATTGAATAAGATGGAAACTATGATGACTACATGCATGCTGTGCTCTGTTCCATTAGATGGTGCTATCAACTACACAAGACGGCCTACACAGTGTGTAGGCCGCAGCAGTCCTGCTCTGCCGTCAGAGGAAAAGGGGAGGCAGGAGGTGAGCGGAGGAGTTGAGGAAGGGAAGCAGCATGTGTACCTTGGAGGTTGAGACAATGGGGAAGTGGTTTCCATGCTCTTGGGGATGGAGTTATTCCTGTTAGTGAAACACATACATACACACTGTGCATCTTAGAATGATAATGAATGACTTCTGGACACACACACATACACACACACACACCTGATACACTCTTGGTATCAGGTGAAGAAACAAGTAGACGTGGAACCAGTGACAAACTGACACATAAACAGACTGGTACTGATGACTAGTTTGAGGTGACTTCAAATATGACACCCGTGAGCTAAATAATTCCAGGATTACCTAGTCATGGAGGCTTTCTCCCAAGGTCTTCTCAGTGTATCTAAAAGAGAGGAGAGAGAGAAAAAAAAAGAAAAACGTTGGTTTGAGCTTTGCTAAACTGTTACTTAATATTGGACAGAAAGTAGGCGGCATGCTATGAATAAAACGGCTGGGTTCTCACCACTTTGACCTTGAGGTTCTGACTCATCCTGTGGAGAAAAGACAGGAACTTCACTAAACAATGAATCACAATCCATCTTCTACAGGGCTTCATATCATTTAAAATTGTGTTGGTTATTCAGGAATAACCCAGCAGACTTACATTATCTTGTGTCTTTGGAGGTGGCTTCTCTCCTGTATCTGCAGCTTTTCTCCTGATAGAAAAAGAAAATTCTTGTTCAAAACATGCAGCCGGTTAACAAAAACCTCTGAATATTCTGTGCTGTGATTTTATATCCAACATGGGCAGCAGGACAGGAGTTTACAATTGAAACCATTGTGAAAATTAGATTTTAAACATAATCCCAACCCACCTGCGGGCCAGAATGGCGCTCATTTCTCCCATCAAACCCCCTCCTCCTCCCCCACCTCCTCCCCCTATGGAGGAATTGCTGCTGCGGTTAGGCTCTGCTCTGGCTGATGGAGCTGCAGAACCACCATCCTCCTGCTGAGGGCAGCAAACAACAAAAACATCCTCTTGAACAGTTCTTCAGAATGACTGGAATACAGCTGAAACCAGGTATTCCCATTAAGTATTTGAAAGAAAAAAAAAAAAAACCTCTGACATGAAATCAAACTGAATGTTTTAGTTTGAGTAAAATCTCAAATTACTGCTTGTGATATGACATTTTGGGCTCTAAATTTTTTCATTAAATGTGTTATTGCATGTCTGTGTATTATATTTACACTATGATAATAAATTACCTGTGATTAATAAAGATGTTTGATTCTTGATTGTTTTCAGGAATTGTTTTACTTTCTTCTAGTTAAGAAAATTCAGATAAGGTTTCTTAAATCAGGATGATGTACTTAAATGGATGTAAATCTCAATGTGTTTAAATAACTCCAACATAGTGGGCTGTATGGCCATAGCATATCATTTAGCGAAGTGCTACAAACTAAGAAGAGAAAAGAACCACATGACACTACTAAGTATTTGCTGGCAAGACACTGCAGTGCCCAAATAAAGTAGCATGCACTCTCTAAATGCAATGTAAAAAGGTCAGATTAGGCCCTTGTAAAATGCACTTTCATAGAAAAAATCTTATTTTTTAGAAAGTATGTTTTTAATGAGCATTATTACACTTTAGGGGAGAGAAAAAGGAGGGAGTTTGTAATAAGATGGTCTAAGCTGTAAAGCAGGAGCATAGTGATTGGTTGTGAGGGTGTATGCTGTAGGATGGACTGGATCATTTTGTGGAAGTATTAAAGAAAACTCTCAAGACATCAGCTAAAAGTTAGCTAACTAAATCAGTTACTAAGTTTGTTATAAAGTTGCTAAAGGTCTCCATTTTCGCCTTTAACTCCAAACCAACAGGAAACATGACAGGTGTGCAAAAAAGGTGTTCTGTAAATCTGATTTAGTTATTGTTGGCTCTGTCAGTGGGAAAGGATGCTTTATTCCAACAAACTATGAGAAGGGATAGCATAAATAAAGGCAATTCTACCAAATACTATGGAAACGTATGAACACTTCTGAACCTAAAGAATAAGAAGAATTTTCAGATGGCTGCTACTTGTGTCAACAGTGATTGAAATGTCTTTTTCTGTTTGTTTTTTTCTTATTTAACGCTCAGTCGCACAAACACTGATTTCTCTCATTTATAAGACGAGATGTTTAATCTCTGTTTATATACAAGGACTAGCTTGTAGAGCTGTGTTACTGTTCATCATATCCAGACAATTAACACAAAAGTCCTTGTTTTTTGTGATTTTCAGTTGGGAAAGTGGAAAACTTTCACCTCAGCGACATCAGACTTCTCACCATTTTTGATTTCTGAGGTAAATGAAATGCAGGATTAATGTCCGGCAAAGAGAAAATATTTAAATTAAAATTTAAATATTGTGTGTGTGTCACCATCTGGTTAACACTGTAATATGGTCATTGTAGTCATGGTAACTTTAACATAAACATCAAGGCAGGTTGCTGTAGAAATTTCATTCATAGAATTAAAAAAAATTCCAAAAATAATAAAATAGGATACAGTAGGATATCATCTGGCACCAACCTTGGACACCTTGCGGAGTTTAGCGCCTGCAAGGGCAGCTGCCAAGCCTCCAGCCCCCCCTAAACCACCGCCGCCACCATCATCTCCACCTCCACCTGCAGCAGGCAGTGGTGGTGCTGGTGGTGCTGGTGGTCCTGTAGGAGGTGGTCCTGGAGGAGGAGGGATGCCTGCAGCAGGGGGAGGCCCAGGGGGTGGCGGAGGAGCAGGGGGAGGAGCTGGACCTCCAGGAGCCATTGGTGGAGCTGCAGGGACATGGGCTGATGAGAAGAAAGAGAGATCATTAATAACGGTTTAATAACTTTTCTTAACAAACACAATCTACTAAAAAATGTTACGTTTCCAACACAGGAAAGCAGTCAAAGAATAAAGATGGAAATACGTTTCCACACCTGCAGGCTATGAATGCAATAAAAGCTAAAAGTAAATTTTTGTTCCACTTCAATCAAAAGGAGAAGTAAAACAAATGGAAAGGTAAAAACTGAAAAAAGCTAGAAAATATGTGAAAATTAATCAAGACATTTCAAACAGAGAAAAATCACACTCTCCGAGTGTGTTTGTCTCAGATAAAAAAAAAAAAATCATGGATTTAAATGGCTTTTACTGTAACCTGGCTCTGAATGAGGAAAATTATATTCTTGTATAAAGCTGAGCTGAGAGTTAAATGCAATCAGACCAGGTGTTTCCTGACCTGCAGCAGCTTGTCGTTCTCTTTCCTGTCGCTCTCTCTCCAGTCGCTCTCGTTCCTGCTGTTCAATCCTCTGCTGCTCCAACCTATCAACACACACCTTTGGTAAAATGCAGGTCGTTTTCCACAGAATGAAAGTTGCCATTAATGCTATAAAACCTACTATTAAGTTCCTTCAAAATAGTATCCTTTATTAATATTGATCTGGAATTATTGAGGACAATTCAGGTTAACAGGCCAAAATGATATTAGCATGCACAATTTTCCCGCATGGAACTTGTAATATAAATACTGCATCATAGCATCCCTTTTAATTGTAGAATAGAAGCTATATATTGAAACAATAATTGTCATTTAAATATTGTGGGCATCTAGTTTTAATGTTCTGATGCACACAATTAGCTAAACAGATGCTTCAAAGTTTAATTTTAGCTTCATCTGACCACAGCACATTCTTAAAACTGTCAAAACCCAATGGTCCCATTACTTTTGATTTATAAACAGGCAGCAATACACTTTCTTTAAACATCACAAAAGCCAAATGCAACATGAAAATTAAATTACATGGGGTTATGATTCCTTCACAAAACTGGATATTTAAATAAAGAGAAGTTGAGTCATCTTTCATTAGTGTGTTAGTCTTACTTCTGATTGTTGCACAAGCCTGTATAACATCGCCTCTGGCTAGAAATTACACTTTAACATCAGAGGAAAAGCACCAGTGGGTCTCTGGTTGTTTTATAGGATATTACAAAAGAGTGAAATGTAAATTTGGTAACCTAATTAACCTACAGCAAAAACAAATGCTCAGCTGGGCTAAGTGGCCTGATTCTGATTACCAAACATCTGCTGCTCTGCACCCCAGCTGCATGCAGAAAAGAATGCACACAGCGCCTGCAAATAGCTGTAATGCAGAGAACGCACACATGCTGTCAGGGGAGATGTGACTTAAAGCTGTATAAGTCCTGTTAAAAGAAACTTCATCATTCTAACAAACAAATTTTATTAATGTTTAGAATGATGACCATCTATTAAAATCCTACACCTGCATCGCTCTTGGAGGTTTTAAAAAGCTCACTAAGCCAGCACATGGAGCAGCTCCTAATTTGACAGACACTCCCTGTGGTCACTGTGCATCTTTCAGGCTGAACGAGATTAGAAGGTTTCTTCTAATCTCGGTTTCTCTACAGACATGCATGAAGCCACCTCAACAGGTTCCTCCTCATGTGCTAGATGAGACGGGCTTGCTATCTGCGTGACCTTTAACCTGACTCAAGAGTTGATTGAGGGTTTAGCAGTGTCTGCTTAATGCCGGCAAATCCTCCACATATGTCTGTGTGTAAAACTGTGCCAACGGGACAGCTGCAAAGCCAAGCCAGCTTGACTATAAACCCAGAGAGTGTTTTTTTTTTTTTTTGTTCCTCTGGTGGGGAAAGCGATTGAAACAACTAGAGTAGAAAGCAACCTTCTGGGAAACGAGCTGATAATATAATTTGTTCCACATAGTCCTGCTGCTTATCTTTAGCAAAGAAACAAGTTTAGCATTATTCTGACTGTCACAAGCTGATATATTTTATCTTTAAGGGAGCAAACAGACATGCTGTAGGTAGCACAGCTAAAATACAAGTGTATTTGTTAAATAGGAAGGGAATGGATTCAGAGGAAGACTGAAGATACCTTCGCTGCTGTTCGAGCTCTTCGGGAGAAGGTCCATTTGACACTGGGCGGGGGAGGGTTGCATAACCTGCAAAAGCATTAAACTATTTTAGAAAACTGTTTTCATAGGAGTCATAAATTGGCTTTATTGCACATCAATAATCCTGTCATCCCATCTGCTTTTCTATCTGTAAACACTTTTTGCTGCAGTGTGCAAAGTCTAAACAGCCACAAATAGGTGAAGCAGAACAATAATGCTTTTACAACAACTTTATTTTTAGTAGGGATATTTTCATATATGATAATAAATGAGGTGTGGGAGAGTGCACATCAAGTCAACCCTACTTTAAACTAAAATACACTCAGAGTGAGCAAAGTTCTCTGAAAGACGAAACAAACGTTATAATTAGAATGGGGGGGTGGGCGCTGAATGTTGAAAAAACTGTAAATCAGTCTTATGTTTACATTTGATCACCATGTTTACATTCTGTCACTGCTGCACTTTAAGAAATGGAAATGTCTTGAGAGCTGTACTGAACGTAATTTCATTTTTTTTTTACACCCTGTGTGTACAAAATGATCATAAAGTGTGTATTAGTCCAATTGTGACACAACAACATGGACATGGCCAAAGCATAAGAGTCTTCATTTCTTCTTTTTTTTTTCAAAAAACGAATTATCTTTAATACCGTCATATTTTTATCTACAAGTTTAAGTCAGAGGTACTTTCTTGGAAGTTTATTCATAGTCTCCCTTAACCACTTGACAAATGCATGAGCAGAAACCAAATGCTTTATATATAGAACTCTGATCAGTGGGGTGGAGGTCATGACATCTATGCATAATTTACAGACATTAAATTAGGTCTCTGAACATGCTACAACCTTTTGTCATACCTAACTGTTTAATTTACATTTAACTCATGTGACACTGCTGCTCAACTGATTCAGTTGAATAGACAATCTAGAGTTGTAGCTATTAACTAATTTATCATAGATTAATCTGTCAGTTTTTTTTTTGATTATTTAAAGTTGCCTAAAAAGATACTTTCCTCCCTGTAATTAATTTACCTAATCAAACAGGTCAACTTAAAAGAAATGTATTGTATATGGCTAAAATGGCTAATTAAAAACTAAATCCAAAGGGAATCGTTTTCCACCTTGCATGTAAAATACAGACATTATGAATAGTTTATGCTCATTCATTGCTCTAAGTTGGTTAATCTTTCGGTAGGCGGTGTGTTTTAGAGTCTGCTTACTCTGAATAATGACTCAGTTAACCGACAGTTCGGACAGATGACCACTACTTTTCGCTTCCCCGCACGGTGCCTTCGCCGTCTTTGTTATTTGTTGCCACTGTCACAACAAATCCCATTATGCTTTGCAAGGAGAGCTCTTGCAAAGTAAGCTGGGATATATCTGCTTGTCTAGTCACCGTGGATGTTCACTACTTTTCAAAATTTTGAGTCCACTAAATAGTGCCATATAAAGTGATTAGGGCGGACGTTCGGACACAAGCATTATTTCATTTCTGAATAATCAGATAAAAAAGAACTGACACATCTGTTCTGTCGGCATCTGTAGAATGATGTATTCTGGCCATGAAAAACAATTTGAGGGAGAAGTGATTTACCTGCGTCTGCCATTGAGTTGAGGACCTCCAGAGCATGAGCCATGCCATTGGCAAATAGGTTAGCATCTTCTTTGCTGCCAAAGTTGAGCCCCCACACTTGTCTGGCATCTCGCCACTGATGAAAATTGGGTGTGGCTTGGTTGTATTTGAGCCCTCTTACGATTGGACAGTTTATAACCACCTGGTGATGAGACATAAACTGTGATTAATAACCTAAAAGCAGAATTAAAGCTTTTAGTGTAAAGCATAGATAGTTTTTGTTAAAGAAATATAAACAGTTAAGTGAACTTTTGACAATGTCCCTTTATTGTCTGCCGTTTATCACTGCTCAAGTAACACCCTTTAAAAACACTGAGATATTTTATGGCTTATATTCAACGTCCAAAATACATAAAAACCCGGTAGCATCTGGGAGCTACATCCTTTAAAAAGAAACTTGATGAAATCATCCCTGTTAACACCTAACATGATGGCCTGTTTTTTATTTCTATTTTTTTAAACAGATACTTCTGGGTTATATTGCACTCAGCAGGTGGCACGAAGCCCGTTAGTGTGGAAAAGAAAAAGCTCTGCACTCAGAGTGTTGCTTGAATGTGCTGACAGGACATTTTAGTATTTGTTTAAAAGCTGCTGAATTCCAGTGAGCAGAGGGGAGGACAGGATACCCCGTCGGAGGGAACATCATAGGCGGCAGCATACACAGAATAACAAAGGCCAGCAAGGTCAGCCCCCACCGCAGACAGTAGTGTTTTTCAAAATTAGTGCTAGTCTTATCAAGAGGGGAAAACACAAAGCAGCTCTCATGAAAAATGCTTTAGTCAGGGTGAAATGAGAAACCTTGACATCTTCTATGTGTCTTGAGGGCAAGAAATACTTCAAGGAGACAGGCTTAAACCCAAAATATGATAGCAAAGAAAAACAGAGGAAGAAAAAAACAAAAGCTACAATATTTGTCTTCAAATTTACCCCATGCTGTTTCAAATTGCCACCAGAGGAAGCAGAGTTACACAGCCCCATAGAGACAAATATAGAGACCTTCCTGGGTATCAAGCCTCCCTTTTAAATTGTCACAGGAAATGGTTGAACTGTTTCACTATCTCACAGGAAACATCATCCACTTTAAGACTTGTCTCCAGGGAACACTTCAGCATGCTGAATGTTTAAAGAAGGAGAGAGGCTTTGTTGCTGAGGGGGTATATATATAAAAAAAGACAAAAAAGGTAGAGAAAGAGGAGAATAGAGCCACCTAAAGTCAATTTCACTCTGCTTTTTGACTGGAACAGTTTTATGTGCCGGGGAGCTACAATGTGGAGAGATAATGGCATTGAAACATCTTTATCTGAAGGATTTTTAACCCAAGATGCAAAAAACTCTAAAGTCTGAACTTAGACACAGCCATCTTGGATAAAGAAGAGATGCTGGTTGTTTTGGTGAACATTTTGTTTCCTTTAAAGCCCTTTAAAGGTCTCAGTATTTATTATAAAAGAAAAATACAGGAATATATAAGAAATATATAAGAAAAAAAAGAAATATATAAATAAATTGTTATTATTTGGTACTTTGGTTTATTCTTTTCTCCTTGTAGATCAGAGCTGCATTGATATGTGCTTAAATATATGTGCTTAACTCTGCACAAACCATGCTGGTTTATGCAGAGTTAGCTGAGTGATGGCAGCAATGTTGGTTTGAGCTGCATGCTCCAGAGTTTAAACTCTCATCTGCAACTCTGGCCTTTTCTTTGCTATGAGGGTAACTAACTGTGACTACAAACACCCCCAAAATTTTAAATCAATATACATCTAGAATAGGTTGTAGAAAGGGCATTAGATGTCTCTGTTTACGTTTATCAGCTGCCAAAAATCACACAGATTTAATAACCATGCTTTAAAAAGTTATAAATACATTGAAGAGGGCAAAATCTTGATTAAAGAATGCGACCAATGGTGGGCCAAAAACACGAGTTACTAGAGGGAAAAAACATGCCTTTAGAATGGATGAAAGAAATGTATAACAAAGATTTTCCGTGCTATGGATATGATGCTGGGTAGCTGTCTAACCGACATCATAATTCAAGCAATGTTCTTTAAAACCTCTGAATTCTGCACTGATCAGTGTTTGCAAAAACAATTTCAATCATTTCTAATAAAACGTTGAATCTAATCTCAGTCCAAAGCCCTGATGTGCAATATAAACTAAAAATAAATAAATGCCTGGTAACAAAATAAACAGCCGCACATTTGCATACTTCGATATGATATCTGCAGGACCGCATGGCTACACAATTTAACCACATGTGCACAGCTCACTCAAAGAGAAGCATTTGTAAACAAATAAATCCCCAACAGGTTTGCCAGACATGCCGTCAAACCTTAAGCTGAAAACTGTACCTGCTGGTCCGTCTGCATTTTGCGTCCGACTATCCGGAAGGCGTTGGTAGTGGGGTTGTGATAGATCTGGACTCTGCTGAAGGCTTGGGCTCCAGTGCCTGCAGGGAGCCACTTTTTACTGCCATCATCATAGATCATCACAGTGGCCCGAGCCTGGCAAATACTCGACTCGCTGCAGAACACAGGAGAAGAAGAAACGGGTCAGAGCACAGCACAGAGGATGCAAGTCTTTGGAGAGTTACTCGCTTTAAGGCTAAAACTATTGTCATGTCGACATACAAACACAGCAAACGTCAATAGAAACCTTTAAAAAAAATAAAAATCAAGATCTCTGATCCTACTTTTGAATACCCTCTGAATTTCTGATGGTTCTGTGGAAATTCGTTCAACAAATGACGAAAACAACACATCATCAGCAATCCTCATCCTGTTGCGCTGTGTAACAGGATGAGGATCACAGCATTCATCGCATATTTCAGGAGTGCCATTTATTATGTAAACAGAGGAAGTGTTTTGAGTATGAAATATGTGTCAATGATCTTTATTACTTGCAACTTCTGACTGATGAAGCAACAGCAAACCTTCACAAAACTCTTAAACTAAGCCTGTCTTTTATTATTATCCTCTTGTTTCTTTTAAAGATCCGTTTTCTTTCAGCAGTTAAATTGATTCATTCACTGATTTACTTCACAAGATTTGGAGCAATGCATCCTTCAGGATTAGTTTATATCAAAGTCTGAGCTTTTGTTTTAAAGTTGTTCATGCTAAAAGCAGCGCCTCTGTCAAGCAGCTGAAACAGAACGAGCAAACGCATAAGGGAGACACTGGATGGGCAAATGACTAAATAAAAACACCAGATTCTAAACAAAACCAGTTTCCGTCTGGACCCAGTCTGGCTTCATTTTTCACCTGTCATCTCACTTGAGTCCTTCAGCCAGTTAATTCAGGTCCGACCAAAAACAAACTTAACTCGACATAAAACCGAGCAGACTCAAGTGGTGTAGAATGACAGACATGCAGTTTACTGTGTAAAGAAATACAGCAAACATGCTGTAAAGTGATTTCTGCAGGAAAAAACCATTTGGTTTGATCCAAAATGAGAGGAGGTGGTTAGACAACAATGGGGAATGACAAAGACAGGAAGCTGTGCAGAGTGTCGGAAGACAAAACAAGGTATTGGAATCTTCCACCTGCTTTACATCATTGCTGAAGACGGTAAGAACGCAGTTGCTCGTGCTCCAAGATTACCGGCTAAATATTTATGCATGCTTTCTGCAGGCGGAATCTGGTTACTGATAATCCATTCACACGGCAGTTTTCTGTACATAGGGGAAGCATATAAAGTTAGAATAAATCTAGAAAAATATTTATTGAAAGACAATTATAAAAATATATTTATTCAAAAGAAAGCTATATTTAAGAACTCTGCAGGTTGAATCCTGTAATAGACAAGTTTTTATAGGTCACACACTTTATCTTTGCATTTTAAGATTACTGTTCGGCGAGGCCAGGCCGGTTTAACAACTCATCTAAAAAAAACGACTAAGAAATTAGTTTAGTTAAACACGAAAGAGGGGATTGAAAGTGAACAGCAAACAGTGGGTTACTACCCATTCCAGTTTTCTATCATTCCTCCCCCTCATCTCCTTGATTACTTCCCAGGCTCTCCCAACAGTCTCCTAATCCATCTTTTCCCCCTCTCCCTCCATCTGTCCCACCCTTGATACAATCTGTTACGTCCGGTGACAAAGCACCAAAGACCCAGCCCACTTCCTGCTGCCTGCACTGCCTAATAAGGACTGCTCCAGTCTGGGTAATAAATGCCTGGAGAAATTCATTTCCCCTACAAGTTAATAACAATAATAAATAGTCAATATTTTCTCACAACCCTATCTGGCTTGGCTGCTAATAAAACAACTAAATCAAACAGAAGCTAATTGTGATAATTTTGTTCCCTTTTGTAAATGACATTTCAAGCATTAAATTTTAGGCTAGAACGGTCCCTGATGCTTACTTCTTATAAATGGGCTAAACAACATTTTTCAAGTCAGTTTGAAGTTTAATGAACACGGTAGTTTTAGATTTGCTGCAAATCAGAAAATGAGCCCAATGTAAACACCAAACCCCTTCCTGTGATTGTGATGTCTGGCACTCGGCTTGCAGGGTGCCCAGAGTCATAGAGAGTATTCAAACCTTTGCTTCCTTGTTCTGGTTTGCAATGGCATTTTGATTTTCACTTCACTGACGTTCGGGCAAAGGAGGACAGCTTCATGGGCAAATGCTGGTTCTGTTATCACATGCTGTAAGCAGGCCATTAAAATGTGACACTAATGTTACCAAACTAAGTTAAATCAGAAAATAAGTATCTGACATTTTTAAATAAGTACACTACAATAAATTGCCAACTTATTAGATATTCACTGGAATCCCGCAGATTGCATTAACCCACTCAGACCTAAAGCACTCTGTAGCCATGGAAACTGCAATTTATTGTGGAAATTGTTATTTATGGATTGTCTAAATAAAAACAAGAGAGAGAGATAAACTCTTGCATTTAGAGCTTTAAAGTCAAGCTGGCAAGAGATCAGAAGTGGTCAATTTATCTTTTATAGATGGGTGATTCTCAGGTGAAAATGCTGAAGAATCTCCATCCTATCCAGTGTGTAAAAACTAAAAATTTCCACCCATCTTCAGTTTTAAAATGCAGCTGTTTAATAAAAATCACAGCACGTACTGAAGCATCAGAAGATATTAATTCAAAGCATTTGAAGCATATTGAAACCTACATAAAACACTTATTATGAAACAATTTCCATAAACTAGTTATAAAGGCTGTCCCTTTAGGCCTCTTATTTAATATACTTATTAGAAACATAGTAATATCGCTCCAATGATTTAAAAGCTTTAATGGAATTAAGACAGTTTGTTCGGAACATGAAGTTTCCTTTTATGCTGATGATTCACTGATTTTTATTGAAATGGCAATATTCTAGCATGTGTGTTACCATTGTGATAAATGATAAATTGGCACATAAACAGCTTTTTTTTTTTTTTTTTACAATAAATATAGACATGCTGGACCTTTCCTCCAATGGCCTCCAAAATCTGGGAATCCCAATTACAAGAAAATAGACAAATCTCCCCACAACCATTTTCAAACAAACATGTCACAGGGTCACCCCAAAAAAATTGACAAAATTCATTAATTAGCATAAAACATAATTTCCAATGCATATCAGCTTTAGCCAGAGTTACACATTATATTGAATCAAAAATCATCTTAAAAGGTATAGTGGAGGATTTTTGCAATTTTTTGAAAAGACCCGTCCTCTACACTTAAAAAAAAAAAAACACATTCACAACCCTGTACCCGCTCCCGACAGGGAACACCTATTAAACGCGTGTGAGAGAATGCACAAGCCCACTTCCCCTCTAAAAGTTTCTGTTTGCATCGCTCACACAAGCTTACTTTCCAAAAGAAGATTGGCAATTTTTCCATTATGTCAGGCTCACCACCGGCAAGTGAACATGGGAACAAGCCTGAAGGATGGCCTTAAGTAAACGTTTCACCAGAATGATTGACAATTAAAAGGACCAAAGAACATCCTCCACTACACCTTTAATATCAGTGCTTGCATTCATGAGGAACTCTCTAAAAGTAATATCTGGTAAATTATCATGCTTCAAGTTTCATGCATTCCTAGTTTGCATATGGTAATTCTAACATTAACATTTTAGTTACAGATTATGCTAAAATTTTGAATATAAATAATTAATCAACCATATGAAACTGTTTGGTATTCCTCGAACTAATTTAAACACGTTCCAGCTTTTGCAGTTTTAATATCAGTCATTATATTTTACAAAAGCTAAATTCCATTTGGTAATCATCAACTTACATTTAGAAAAGTAAACCTAAAGTTTCCCAAACGGACTACCACAAATTAAAAAAAAGAGGGTGCACTGGAACAGCATATTTTTTTGTTTGTTTGTGTGGGGTTTTGTTTTGCTGACAGCAAATATTATCTGCTTTATAGATATCTTGATGTCAAGAGTTCATAACAGAGCAGCTTCACAGCTGCCTCGGCCCAGAACCATGAGAAATTAGTGACACAGGGTTTCTGTGCCACTGTGCACAAGAGGTCTCTTTTTACTTTCATGTCTAAACAAAGATGTGTGTAAGGTTACCACAAAAGCAACTAAATGCTTTTTTTAATCCCATCTTTAATATTTATCAACTTTAATCTAGATAAAGATCTAAAAGGAATTCATGCTGTTGAGAAAATGAGTTACAGTGTAGAGAGGAGCTAATTCAGTGCCATTTCAGCAATATTCACAAGGATGTATTGTTCTGCAGACAAACACATGCTGCGCATCCCTTAAGCTATAAAATCTCATATTTCCTGTCTCGACCACACACACATCCTTTCTAGCTCTCAGGCTGTAGCAGCATCATGAGAGACTGCAGTCAAGTTTGCAGCAGATTTAACTTTGCTAAATTGCATGCACCCATATGCGGTGCGCACCAGTACAGATTAAGTATGATGCATACCAGGCGGTCTTCCTGACTGACATACCTCATGGAAATCTGTTTCATATTAATTACACTTTGGGACCTTTTTATAACCTGCCATATACCAGTTATGCTTTGAGATGATTTTTAACATGCAACTTAAAGAAAATATTAGTACTGGTTATCATCTCGTTTGTTCATATTGGCAGATGTTTGATTTGCTGGTGGTCAACAGAGTATTTACAGGTTGTCTCTGCTGAATATGATTAAAATACATTTAGCTGAAATCGTTTTAAGAAAAAATAAAATAATTGTATAAAAGTAGACTTATGAAACCTAGGGTAGGAAAACTAAACTAACCAAGACTTTTCTGGGATGTTGAATTCCCCAGCGGGGACCATCTTGTCCATCAGGCAGGGGAAACCTTTCCTGAATAAAACCTACATGAATCATTCAGGAAACTAATGTTCTCTTCATCCAGGGCGTGGGGTGCTAGGTGGATGCAGAGGGGGTTTATGGGAACTGGAAGGGGACACAGACATCGCACTGGGAAACAGATGCATATTTAATGGTGGAGAAAGCATGGGCTCAGGAGCAAGACCGCTCCTTGAAAGCTTTTAAAATCCATCTTAAGCCAAGGTTTTATTTGAAGGAAAAAA